ATTTTATCCAGAGCAGGTCCCTCCCTAGCTTACAAGACACAACTCCATCCTTTAAGCTTTTCATCTTCTAGTATGAAAAGTAGGACAGCCTTGTCTGCTTTTTAGCTATGTCCTAAAACAGGTATCACCTCCTCAGCTCTTGTAGCATCCCCCAGCTGAAAACCCCACCGCAGCACTACTGGGGGAATGCACAGGATGGGACCAGTGGGGTCACAGTGCCCCAGAGAGCCTCAGGATGAGGGCTATGGACCCAATCTGGTCTGCAGCAGTTGCCTTGGTGATGGCAGCATTGTGCTCCGGAGCCAATAAAATGTTAACCCCTTTGTTTGTAAAGCAAATTTGGCCACCCTGAACTGCTCTGCCTGCGGCAGAGCTGCCTTCTTAACGAGGCTTTCGAATTCCCTGGCCCCGAGGTGCAGCCCTGAGGCAAACTCCCAAAGCACTGCTCGATTTCCCAAGAATCTTCGCCTGAAGCCATGGTTGCATGTGCAGAAGAAAGGAATTTTGTTCACCTCTCAGTGCACAGGGCTGGGCTGCTGCAAGGGCCACCACCTGCTCACATATATCACCTTTCTGCATCATAGCCTTTTCTAATCTGGAACCCAACAGCATTTTCAACTAAACATTTATGGAAAAGACTGGTGTACTGCTTGCACATCTTCCCTTTCTAGAGCTACTATCCCTTCTCAGCGCATGCAGAGAAGTGAGAGACACCCCTGCCCTCGGAGGGAGTGCCGGTGCCATATGCTAATGAAGCCAAAGGCAGACAGCAGTTGACAGATACTACCGAAGTGGGCTCAGAGGACAGAAAAAGAACAACTCAGAGGTAGAAATGAAGTGATACAAATCCACAATCCATGGACCTCGGCATAATGCCTCTCCTGCTGCGTTGTGATGGCCATCAGCAGAGTTAACCTTCCACTCTAATCACAGTCATTAAATTCCTGCTAACGTCCCTGTCCTATGTCTGTCCAAACAGCTCTTTTATCTGTCACCTCCCCACACGGTGTGCCCGGCTCCCCACTGCCACAGCTCTCATTAATGCTGCTCTGGCTGGCTGATGAGGCAAGTGGCAGCCGGCTCCCAAGCCCAGATGAGTTTTGTAGACAGCAGGGGATGTTTATCCAACACGGAAGGGATGAAAGTGCAAACAAAGAGAGACCATACAATTACTCAGGCATCGCACAGGGCCAGTCTCATTAAAGACAGTCTCCCTGACAGGAATTAATCTGAAGTGACAACCCAGTGAGCTAATTTAGCAAATGGGTTTGGGGCTTGGCCCAGTGCAAATTTCAGGGGGCTGTCTGGCAGGTAGAGCTGAACCTGCTCCTGGGAGAGGAAAGGCAGGAATGTGTCAAGCTGGATTGGTTCTGGCCCAAGACTGTGTATGAGAAGGTACTGAGGAGACAGCAGCCTCAGGTCTCCTTGAGGGGCACAATAAAGATTAAACTTTCCTACTGCACCAGTAGCTTCTCCTTCCTCTTTCTCTTGCAGCCTCAGGTCACAGATGGGTTCTAGCTCATTAAGTGCATAGTAATTCTGCCACTATCCCCTGTAACCACCAGCCCAATTCAGATCTTTCCTCCATGATGCAACCTGCTCACAATATTAGATGGCTTTTCATTTCTCTGTAATGTTAGAGCAGAGCCCTGGGAGTGGATAAAATACACAGAGAGAAAAAAGCAACTTAAAAGGCTTTTTATTTTTTAAGCAAAGATCTGGTCTGAGGAGGCTGCTTTGAATCCCCAAGCAATGAAAAGCATTTTCAGTTGGAGTGCAGTGCCTCAGTGCCTTTCTACACTCCAAGAATACATGGAAGACAAAAAGCTAACCAAACAAATAGCCCAAAAGCCTCGTGGCATCTGCCTGTAACCAAACCACCCAGGGCTGTTAACTCATTGAGTTCACTAGTAAAGGTGAAGTAAGGTGGTTGGCATCTGGCTCACTTGCCTTGCAGCAAGAAATGAAAAAGCCTTCCAAGCTGTCAGGACAGAAGGCTGTGTGGCCCCTGCTGTTCCTCAGTGGGGAGGTTTACCCCTCTGAATTGGCACTCGACAAAGCCACTGCCTAAGCCCCCCTGACCAATGCCCTTCAGGAAATAACCACCTCTTTGCTGAGACATAGAGCAGAGGCTTTGCAAGGAGCTTGCTTCAAGTTGCTATCATATGTGCTTTGCCTGGGTCAGTGGCTTCAAGCTGTCAAGCTGCTTATGCGGTTTTAATCGGAAGTTAATCCTTATTCTACTGGAACTGGTACGTCTGCTGCGCTGCTCGGTCTCCTCCACAGTGCTGGGAACAATCAGCTCTACTTGTCTGTCTTGCTGGGAGCCCCTATGTATTACTTGGGAAACCATATTCCCCCCGACTGCTTGCAATCCCCCCAGGAATGCATGATCAGCCTTAGGGAGCCACTGTACAGGAAGAGTTGGAGGAGTCACGGTGCCAGCCAATTAATAAGCAGCACTTTGACTCTCACCCAGCTTCATTTTCAGCAGCTGCAGCAAGCAAATCTAATTCAGGGGTTCCCAGGTGCCTTGCAAACCATCCTGCTACTTGGGGATCTTCACATTACATATGCCAAGAGCTCTTTGAGCAAACCAGGGGCTGTGAAATGAAAACTAGCAAACCATCTTGCAAACAGTGGGCATCCCAGCTGGTTGCCCTTTGGATTCCAGTTCAGCAAGAGTTAATTCGCCCCTTTCCATGCCCTCTACCCCTGACAGCCCCTGACAGCCCCTGACAGCCCCAAGACTGCAGGCTGCTGCTGCCACATTCGTTCACCTTTAAGGTGCTGAAAAGCCCCTACCATGACCACTAAGGCTGCAGAGCTCCCAGGGCTGGCTGGGTAAGCTTTCATCAGCTTGATGATGGCAATAAATCCGTTGTGTCTGACCATGTGCAAGGCCCTTTTTACCTAAGGAGAATATTCCATTTCAACCCTAGCTCTCTAGGATTTTTCTGCCACCACAGCTAGTTCCTGGAAAGCCAGCATATCCAGTGAGGAGAGTGCGCAGGCAAACAGTAGCTCCGTATCCAGGCAGACAAATCCCCTTTCTTAAGAGCTCTCCAGTCAGTAATACTTTTAAGCTTTTGAGCTTTTGACGGTTATATTCAGTGAGGTCACCATGTTGTACAGTCCAACAATGGAACAGAGGTATGCAAACCTTACCCCAGGTGCCTCAGTACAAAGAAGAAGGTGTGACAAAGCAGCAGAATCTGCAGGATAAGGAAGAGGGTGATGGAGCAAGGGAAGGAGTGAAAGGTCGGGAGATGTCATGAGGCTTCTTGGAGTCCAAGTGAGACATCACAGGGAAAACACCAGGAAGGCAGGACAAGAGTATAAGGAAGTGGCAGGCTGAAGATGAGGGGGGATGTGATCCTCTGGGATAAGGAAATGAAAAGGGCTCAGTGAGACCTCAGCAAGGCATGCGGAAGGGGGGACCTTGCCATGAAATGCAAGTATTTTTGTTGGAGGAGGGCCAGGAGGAGGCAGTACTGTGAAAGACTTTTCCAATGTTTCCTGCTTGTGCTTGACAGAAGTGGGAAAAAACTCCCCTGCTTCCTCCTCCCTCTGCCCTCTCTTATTTAGACCCAGGTCACCATGATGAGACCTGTAGCCATTTCTAAGAGCCTGCCCATACGTGAGACTGGGCTACAGCAGGGCCACGATATCACACTCCTCTAAAACACATCAGTCAATAGTTACAACTATGTGGTGATTCTGCAAAACATTAACAGCAGTAACTAATGTGGTATGAACAAAACTGGGGGGAGGGGTGTGTTAAATTTGCACGGCCACTCAGCTCATAACTTAAGAAAAGTGAGTTTCCCTTTTCTTGATCCCTTTCAGTAGAAGCTCAATGAAGAACAGATCCAAGATTACTTTTAGGAACTGTGCAAAAGGAAAAAAACCCCTCAACATAACCAGAGAAGGATAAAACCCACAAATTTGTTCACTGATTTGCAGTGCTGATAATAGCAAAACTTGGCTCAGAGGGAAGAGCTACTATGACAAACTGCCTTCATTATTAGAGGCTCCCCTGTGTCTTGTATTATTATTAAGTACTGAAAACGTGCTCCACACCGTGTGAGTAACAAACAAAGGCTATCCCACCCCAGAGAGCTCACAATCAAACGGAGACATAAAACTGGAGCCTACTGTGCAGAACTAGAGGAAAAAGACACTTGAATCTTTTTAATTATTTTGTTTTCTATCTACAGTAAACAAACTTTCCCTTGCAAAATGCAAGGGAATGGCAAGAAACACCAATCTTAAGTGTCCCCATTTTTAAAAAATGTTGAACACAGGTGCTTTGCTGAGCGTGGATGAAAGTACCTGGCAATCCTGCTAAGTTAATCTGCTTTTTAAAAACATCCAACTCTTTTCTCTAACCTTCTCCAACCAGTGATGTCTTCAGATTTCACGGAGTTCTTCCCTACAGCTTCCACCACCCAATATGATTTCTCTTCAAGCTAAGAAACATTGAAACCCACTTTTCTTCCCCTGCAGAGTTCATATAGTCCAAATAGCTTAGATACTGCGACAGTATGAAAGCCCTTCTGTAACACAAACAGTCTATGATTTTTCCCTGCAGTTCCTGCCTGGAGAGGTCTTCAGCTTATTCTCTTTTTTCTGTACGAGTGAGGAGGACAGAATACTACTTGTTTGAATCTTTGGCCTATAAAATCTACAATATCTACTAATGACTGTAGGGTACTGTTCCCATTAAACCTCCATTCAAAACACTGAGATAAACAGTCCAATGGGAGCAGCAGGGCTTTGGAAGACCTGGATCGTACCCAACACCAGAGCTAAAAATGAACACTGAACTGTGCACTTGGCCTGTCTCTTCCATTCTCTGGGGAAGGTGCAGGACCATCAAGATCGAGCAATTTCATCACTTTCAGCTCTTAATCAGCAAGGAGACATTGATGCAACTGCCTCCTTAATGGTTGTCTTCCCAAGGGCATATGCTGAGGCTCCAGAAGAACAGACCTTACCTGCCGGAGTTCCAGACGGTACTTGAGGATGGGATCCACAGCATCTGGCTCCTTCTGTGTCCACTGTAAGATGTAAGAGTAATTCTTGGACTGCTTCTGGCTCAAGGTGGGATTGGGAGTGTCATAGTAAAACTCTGGGCTATAAGCTTTTGCTGGAGGGGAAAAAAAAAAAAAGAAAGAAGAAAGTAAAAAGGTGGGATCAAGGGGAACATAAATTACAAAGAGACGTGGTGAAAGTGGATCAGCTCCACTCGCCCAACTCGTCCACCTGCCCTCTGACATGATGGACACCTTTACTGTTGCACTGATGTGCCACCATTTTCTGTGACTCGATACTGCTTTCACAGCTTAAACTACTGGGAGGATTAGCAGCCCTGCAACTCCAGTGGGGCATGACCAGCACCTGAGAAGGTAGGAACAACTTCAGTTCTCCAGCTGGAACCAGCTCTAATCTTTTCTCTCTTGCTTTGTAGTTTAGATTGAGGTAACGGCTTTAAACTGGCATTTCTCCTGTTTCATCTGCTGCTTTACAGAGACTCCTGCTAACAAACTCTGAGGAAAGATCATTTGGCCAGTAGGTCATAGGAAAAGTGTTATTTATCACACAGGGACCATGGCATTAAAAAGGAGACCTTGCTCCTTCTGCACCTCCCCTGCCTCGGCAACACAGTGCTCGAGCCTCTTTGTAGCACAACAGTCACCTCGGCAGCAAAGGGGATGCTGACCTCAGCATGGGTAAAAACAGCAGGAGCTTTGGCAGGGGCGGAGATGTCTTTTCTAAACTCACATCTCTCCTTAAAAACACAGTGCAGCAGCAGAAGGGAAATACAGGAGAAACAACGTACCATAGAGAAACTAGGCAGTTCAGGGAAGAAGGGACTTCCCATGATTTCCCCAGCCACTGCTATCCTGAACCACTACTAAACAGAATTTGAAGGCTACTGCCATGCAACCCCCCAGCTGAAGGACTAATGCACAGGGCCCAGAAGCAACTCGAGGTCTTATCCACAACTGGTTTTGCTCTATTTGAAATTACCTTCATTTCATGCTGTGAACTTCAATTTTTGTCAAGTCCTGTCCTGAGCCAGGTAGAAGCTAGACCTGAACAAAACCCCTGCTTTCTGGGTTCAGGTCCAATCTGAACCTGCAGTGACCAGAAAGGTGCCTAGGCAGCAAGGGACACTGGAGAGCAGAACAGGCATAAACTGTCTCCCCAGGCTATCTGCTGCACACCTTTCCACTTGAATTACAGGCCCTGCCATTCTGTGTGGTTATAATCAGGCTCGACAGGATTCAACGTTTTTTTTTTTTTATGAACTCAGATGTACAATATTGATATTTATTTCCAAGTCCTTTTTTTCTTATTATTTTTATTGACTCGAATTTTGGCATAAGTAAGAAGTTCAGAACCACCTCAGAGACTAATTGCTGCTTATTCAACTTGTATTGACTGTGGAAGTCAAGCTTCATAATGGATTCAGAAATAAAATCAGAACTGATGATAATCATCATCTTGCATGATATTAATTCCTTATTAATTGACTCAAAGATGGAAATGGAAGGTAAAAAAAAAGCTTTTTGGCCTTTTGGTAGAAATGCTGTACATCAAAATATTTTCAGAACTTCCTTTCTGGAAACTTTTAGCATTACTCGAAAGGTTTTTCTTTTGCTTAGAGCCTATGGGAAGAGCTGAAGGTTATTCACTCTGTCTTTCAGGGCTCTTCTGTGCTTGTGGCTAGTGGGAGAGTAGGTTATGGCCACTATGGGCTGCCTGATAACTTGCTCAAGAAGAGTGAGTTGGATGTCTCACTATCTTTACAAAACATCTTGGAAAGCTCATCACCCATCCATAGATTAAAGTAACCCCATCCTGGGCAAATTCATGTACTCTATTTCCAGTACATTTGTGACCCCACAGTCACAAATGGGTCACTGCTTCCTTGTCACACAGGAAGGTTTATGGTCTTCCTTCCGTAGAAAAGAAACAAAACCAAAAAGAGACCATGCCATTCTGCCCACTTACACAGGAAGGCTGTAGCTGATGTGAATTAAAACTCCAGCAATCCTGAGCCCAAGCACAGTCTAGTCACTGGATTATTTTTCAGGTTGCTCTACAGGCTCTGAAAGTCTTAACTGATTTGTAACTGTCCAGGAAACAGGCAGAGATGTCTGGAGCTGTACAGCTACCATCAGGTATCAATGCCTTGGAAACAGAGAAGGGATGCAGAAAAATAAAGGCTTGCTTCTCTCCTGATCAGTGTTCTCTATGGATGCAACTTCCTTCTGCTGAGGGAATTCTTATCTAAGGCACAGCATGGCACACTGCGTGGCAATAAGTATTTGTTCCTGCTCCCAGCAAGAAATTCCTGGGAGCATTCCCAAACTTGATAGGGACAGAGTTTTCTGTGATGGCTCATAGAGGGATATGGTTTGCCATCACTTAGTGATGTGAGAGTTATGCAAAAAGGGGAAAGAGGGACAAAGCTCTCAAGAAAAATCCACTGCCAGACAAATGCCAGGAAATTTCAAGGGGCGAGAGCAAAGTCCTGAAAAGGGACTCAAACAGTTTGGATTCCTCCATTTCTGAGAGCATCTCAGAGTTACAGCATACTTGAGCTTTTCCAAACCTTACAAAAGATCTGCTTCAAAATCAGGCCTCTCTGGATGTTATTTATTCTCTTTGTTCAGCCCTGACTTGAAAAGTATTATAAATTGACCCCAGATGCAAACACCAGCATTTGGGTTGAATTTATTGCTTATTAAGGCAACTTCATGGGAGAGCTTTTCTAGAAACTTGTGCCGAAGTCAATTCTGGGGTCGTGGAAAAGCAGATTTAATGATCATCCGGAGAAGCCAGGTCAGTTATATGGTTTTAGATGCTATAACTCTGCCATCCCTCTTTGCAGTTGCAGGTGCTGGAGAGGAATCCTATTATGATGGATGATGGATTCACAGAAAACTGTGAGCTGCAAATCTGCTGAGTACTAGTGTCCATATCCAGCTCATGTTTTTCCTAGGAAGCATCATGAGACACAAACAGACAGGAGATAGAGAGAAGGCACAGAAATACATAATACAGTTTTTGTTTCTTGGTTTGTTTGCTTTTAAAGGGGAAATTATATGGTTTGGAGCCTGCTGGAGGTATGTAGAGAGCTTTTCAATTCCCCATGGTCAATACTTATCAACGATACAGGTTGTCCAAGCTTGAAGGCTGATGGCAGCCTTGAATATAAGCCCTGTATTTTTCAGGCAAGTGGTTAAACACTGTTAAAATGTAGCAGTGGCTAGCACTAACTGCTCCAGGTCCATCTGCCTGAATGATGGAGACAGATCTCCCCGCTGGCTTATGGAAAAGCATTCCTCCTGAACAGAATGCTGTGTACAGAGGAGGCAGTAGAGGTTGGTTTTACTGGCACCAGTTTATGAGGAGCAAGCTTCTCACCTCTGTGACCCCATCCAACAGCTTGCTCTGATGTGGATTCTGTGACTTACCAGACACCTGGAAGAGGCAGGTGGAGACTCCCACGTCATTGGAAATGCTGCACTCGTAGGTCCCACTGGTCTCCCGGCTGACACTGTCCACCTTCAGCTCCGAGTAGTCCTGCTGCTCTGCCAGGGGCTGCGCCAGGAGGGTCCCATTGAAACGCCAGACAGAGGTGGCCACCTTCATGGGGCTGCCCTTCAGCATAGTGCAGCGCAAGGTGACACTGTGCCCCATGCCCTGGCGTACATCCTGGAAGGCTGGCTCCACCACGGGGGGGACTGGAGACCGAACAGAGCAAAGACAGGGATGCAGTCAGGGAACAACTGTCTCGCTCAGCACGGTCACCCTAACTGCCTCTGATGAGGCAGACACATATGATTTCCAAGGGGATATTTATTTTCTAGTGGGAACAGGATCCGTCAAACCAAAAGCAATAGTCATTTGACATCTCCTAACTGGGCTGTGGCCACATCCCACCTCCCTCCCATTTATGAGGTAAGGGTGGCCTTTAGCAAGTACTCCTTCCCACTGAGACACTGCTTGGAGGAGCTACCAAGCCCTCCTTTTTTGTGTCAAAAGTGCAACTCTAGCAGCTGAGTGTCATGGCTTGGATTCAACCCTCAGATCCTAGTCAGAAAAAACATAGTCCTCTTTTGCAGAATGAAATGCACTCCCTGAGCAGGTAGGTAAGCTCCCAATCAGTTAAACTCATGTTCTTCTTGTCAAAGTCTGGCAGGGTTATCAAGGACACCGTGCTTAGATGGAGGGATATGCACTGGCTGTCCCTACAGACCTGAAGGGGTGTTAGAGGGCTTCCCCGAAGTACATCAATACAACACATTAGGGACCAGCTACAGGGACTCAGAGTCCTATGTTTATATCTGAAAACAATGCCCTGATGTTGGGAGGTGAGTCACATCTATCCATGTCAGCTTCTCTACCGGTAGTGTGAGAATGGGAATGGCAATGTGTGTTCACCTCCTTAGCAAAGGGAGACTACCATGTCTTGTTCTTCAGCACTTGTAAAAATTTACAGGAACCTCACAATTTGGGCATGGTTGAAGCAGAGCAAGGAGAATGTCTGGATTGGTACCGTTTAGGTTACCCCTTATTTAATGCAATTGCAGAGGACTTCAGTCTCCACAGCCATCTGATAGACATGTTTCACTTGCAATAAACTTTTAATTAAAACACTACAGCACAGGGATAACCAGAAGCTCTCTATCTAAAATGAGAAAAGCTTCCTGAACACAAAACAACTGTTTGCCCAAATGCAAAAGATGGAGAACTGATTTAGAGCAGCTTCACCACAATCACAACTCACCTTCTCCATGTTCAAAGCACCTGCTCTTCCAGAGATGATTTCTATGCACTACAGATGTGCAGAGCACCCACCTCCTCTAAAGGTCCACAGAACTGCCAAGAACAGCCAGGCCCAAACACCTGCAGCACCCAGCATCTGAAGTGCCATGAACACCTCCAACAACTACCATGGGTTACTCAGCATCCCTGCTTTCCTGAACACAGCCATGCCAGGAGGGTTCCAGCTCACCGGTCTCTCCTCTCCCATAGCCTGACCCCCAGCAAGACTCACTGACACCTCTGTAACACTAGTGACATCTCCATCTTCACCACAGATGAAGGCAGTGCACACGCTGTCCCATAGGTAGGCACACATAGTGTCCCAGGGCACAAATGCATCTGTGGATATGCAGCTTACAATCATCCGCTCCACCTGGCAGCCCTGGTTTGACATGGCTGATTGTTTTCAAGATACCTGTTCTCAGCTCTCAGTCTCTGGGCCCCTTGCTGCACTTCAGTGGATTAAAAGCAGCCCTTGACTGAGGTGAGTGGCATGGTCAGCTCATTACAGATGGCTTTGCTAGCAATGTGTCTCTGCGAGTGCTCCAAGTGCTGACTTGCCTTTGGCTCACATGTCTCCCACCTCATGGTGAGAATAACGTGAGAAGTTGTTTGATTAGACCTAGTGCCACGAATGTGTCATCTCTATCCCTAGCTGCTATCCCATTTCTTCAGTCACATCTGCTCCTTAATTGAAGCTGGTGGGGTCTCACATTACAATCTAGGCCAGCTGGTGATATAGCAGAAAAAAAAAAAACGAAAAAGGGAGGAGAAGAGAAAAAAGAAGGCTTAAAAAAAATGGCACAGCAGCTCCACAGGTACTCAAAGCAGTTTCTCTCCTGAGGAGGAGAGAGAGGGGTGGGAGAGCAGCTTCCCCCACTGCACCTGGCTGTGCCTGTCTATGGGGCTGGGACAAAGGAAGAGAAAAGGTCTGAAATTGGACAAAGTGCTGACTGCAAGGAAACACACTGCAGGGAAGGTGCCCTCCTGGGCCTCACTGAGAGAGTGTCTGGAGCTGGTAAAGGGTCACAGAGGAACAGAGTTGAGATGCCCCAAATGCTTCCTCAGGTCACTGGAACAGTAGGGCAGCCAAGGATGCAGAAGATATTTAATCTTCTTCAGCTGGGAAATGGGATTTCCTTGATTTGCACTGGGACAGGCTCTGGGCCTATGTTATCATTTTGCAAAGGGAATGTCTGAAAGTGCCTCTAAATTAAAAATTGATTACATTTTCTTCTCTTGTCTCTGGCACTAGGAGACACCCAATGAGCATTAACTCTGCAGGTAGTCCTGTAGCTCCTGGGTTTTCTGAAGAGAGGGATGAAGTAGATCATCCCATTGCTGCAAAGCATACAGAACTATACCACGGGTTAGCTATTCCCAAAGGTTCCCAGTGGATATAAAAACAAAGAAAGGTCAACAGCAATTACAGAACCAGACATCAGCTTCAGCCTCAATGCCTACTGGGGAGTCCACACTTGTTCAAGAAGGTTACACACAAAAGGCAGACTTCACCAGAAAGGCAGGGATTTAGTCTGTAAAACCTAGCTGCTAACAACACAGCCTTTTCTGTTTCTGTTCTTTTTCCCTGGCTTAAAGGCAAATGAAAGCTTGTTTAAATGAGCTGGTGCTCCTACTCGCTAAAACTGGGAACTGAACAGCTCCTGAGATGGGGACTATCTCAGAGCAGAGACCTCCCACATGACTCCTGCACAGACACCATTAGGGAGCTGCAGGAAAGGATAATGATTTCCCAGGTGCCTCTTATACCTACAGGCAAGCAGCATCCCTGCTGGCTAGAAGAGAGCAGTATCTGGCTATTCTGGCTGGCTAAGCTGCCATGATGCTCTTTGAGGACCTTGGGTATCAGCCCAGTTTTTAGCCCAGTTACAAAGCTGAGTCCTTGCCCAGACATTCTTCAAATGCCTTTCTGTATCCCCCCCTGAACTCCAATGCCTGTGTCTGAAATGCTCTTTTAAGCAGCCACCACATTGCAGGCAGCAGTTGCTACACTTAAAGGAGGTAAAAAACCTCAGTGCATATACAGGGTTTTGGGATCTCCTGGTAAGAAACACAGCAAACAAATATAGACAATTACTGATCTCTCTCAACACACAGCTTAAGTCTGGAAGAGCTCACTGGCAAGAGGAGTGATGAAAGGGGTGAAGAGGTAATGTTGAAGTGAAGGTCCTCCAGCAACCTTGTTAAGATGCTGCTGCTGCAAAACACAAGGCAGGGCAGCCTGCCTTTGCAGCAGAATTAGCTAGTTAGGAGCAAATCAAATCAGCCAAACACAGGCAACCTACTCTAGCATGCCAAGCACCCTAAAGCAAAGCCAGGCTGCAGGCAGCTCCCTTGCTGTGAGCCAGAGCAGATGCTCTGCACTGAAGGGTTGCTAAGCTAACACAGTGTTCACAATGATGAAAAACAACAGTGAGGAAAGCACAACAGAGAAATGTCAAGCACCAAGGAGTGTTGCTTTGTGTCCCAATAACCTCTTACTTTCTTGGTTTCACTGGAAATAACCAGAATTGAAATCTCATCCTGCTAGGTGAGCGAGAAGTGCACTGGCTGATGAGTGGTGGTAACTTGGTTTAAGTCTGTTTTTATTTTAGCCTTGAGGAAAAGAAGAGTGTTCTTCCTTACAAGAGCCAAAGAGCTTGAAGGAGAGGCCACACTTTTCTTGCACTGTTACTGTGCTGTCCTGCTTGGGCAGAGCTCAAGAAGGGGTATTCAGCCATCCCTGCAATACTGTCTGATTGCTAGAGATTCCCATCAAATTCAGAGGCCTCCAGAAGGCAGAGATGTTTCTTTCACCAGTGATGAAGTCAGAGCATCGCAGGATGGCAGCGATGCACTACAGAAAGCTTTTTACTTGTGGGGTAAATACAAAAAAAAAAAAAATCGCTTAAATTAGAAAATGGGAATGTTGTCATGCATCTGCTCAATCTGGTATAGATGAAAGGCAAAGAAAGGCTCCTACTGGAGTGGACTGATGCACAGAAATCAGCGACAAGTTTAAATACAAAACAGGATCTATAGAACAGGGGAATACTGAGAGAATAGACCTCGCATTAATTGCTCAGGCAATAACTGAGAAGGCTGAATATTGTAGACACCACAAGACAACGCTACTATGCAAGACACATGCAAAGTCTCCTTTCCCACCGTAGCTTGAGAACTGATCAATTCCCAAATGCTGGCTCATTTTGGAAGGGTTGTCAGAGCTGAGGAACTCAGTCATAACCTGCTTTCTGACTTAAAGGCAGCCTTGTCTCCTGTGTAGCCACCCTGACCAGCAGCTGACAACAGCCATCTCTGTAGGTGGTTAGCTGCCTGCATTGTACTGCTGGTCTGTGGAGCTGCCATGGGCTGCTGCACTCTTATTTTTCTACAGGAATTTACTTTCTGCAATGCTTCCTCTGCTGCAAAGAGCACCACAGTGCAGCAATGTCCAGGAGGAAAAAGAGAGGCACAAAACAGAAGGACGTCCTAATCGAGGTCATACAAACAGGCAGCATGAGACAGAAGCAGCAAGGACTGTATCCTGACCCTCAGTATCTGGTGTCCTGAATCAGAATACCTTCCATAACAGGACCCATATCCCAGTCCTTCCGTCCTTAGCCCAGGCTTCCTTCTCTGTGAGAAACACCTTCTACTCTACCCTCCAGAGTCAGCCTTTAAATTTTTATTTAAATTTAGAAAGTGCAATACGTAACACAAGTGATAAAAATAGCAAGCCTTGCTAGACTAGAAAGCAGCTTCATTTTGAGTAGCTTTCATTCCACCCTACTAACTGACCCCCTCAAAGCTTAACTATGCATCATAGTGCCAGTGGGACGACTGCCTTTAACCCTCACCTTATCCCATGTGTGAGACCTAACTGATTGCTCACTTGCTGGATTAACATTGCAAA